GGAACTAGCAGAAAGAATCAACAACTGGGATTTCATCTTATTAAAAAGCTTCTGCACTGCAAGAGAAACCACCAACAGAGCTAACAGACAGCCTACAATGTGGGAAAAATTTTTTAGCCGTTGTAACTCGGACAAAGGGATACTATCTAGAATATACAAAGAACTGAAAAAAACAGACCCCCCAAATATAAAGACCCAATTCAAAAATGGGCATCTGAAATGAACAGACATTACTCAGATGAAGAAGTAAAAGCAGGAAATAAACATATGAAAAGCTGTTCAGCATCACTGGTCATTTGAGAGATGCCAATGAAAACAACACTGCGATTCCACCTCACCCCAGAAAGAGTGGCTGCTATCAAGAAATCAACCAATAACAAATGCTGGCAGGAGTGTGGAAAGAAAGGAACCCTTCTCCATTGTTGGTGGGAGTGCAGACTGGTGTAACCACTGTGGAAATCAGCATGGAGATATCTCAAAGACCTCGGGCTGGAGGTACCATTTGACCCAGCTACTCCCCTGCTGTGTATCTTCCCCAAAAGAATTAAAAGAATCATACCACAGAGATATATGTGCACCCATGTTTATTGTGGCACAGTTTGTAATAGCTAAAACTTGGAAGCAGCCCAAGTGCCCATCAACTGGAAACTGGATAAAAAAGATGCATTTTTTTTTATACAATGGAGTACTACTCAGCCATCAAGAATGAGAAACTAGAGTCATTTATAGCTAAATGGATGCATATTGAGGCCATACTCTTAAGCGAAATAAATAAGGCACACGTGTAAATACCGAATAGTTTCTCTGGTGTGAGAAACTGAGAGTGTAAATAAGGACTAAAAAGATTAATAACTAATAATTGATAATTTGAAATAGGAAAAGGTCCAAAGGGTTAGGGGTGGTGGGAGGGGAAGGGGAAAGGAAAGAATGGAAAGGAAAAATTATGAGAAAAGAAAAAAAAATGGAAACGAAGTAAGTAAATAGGGAAGATTGGAGGGGGTGAAGGGCACACAGGTAATGGGAAAAAACAAGAACCAAGATACACCATGTACAGGTACAAGCACCCAGTGATAAATGTAAATGATTGTATACCTAAAATGTACCAATAAAAGAATTTAAGTAAAAAAAAATAAGATATATCTCTTAGAAAATCTTTTCTCACCCAGGGTCTGAAGTCTGGCCCTGCTAGACAGACCTCTGTGTGCTGATCTGGAATGAATGAATGAATGAGCACATCTCCTGTTGATCTGGTGTCTGAGAGCTTTCTCCAGGGCTCCCCAGGCATGGTGTGAATGCTGCGTGCCCACGTGTCCTGTTTGCATGAAAAGATCCTTACTAATGACTCATTTCTCAAAGAAGATAAGCAAGTGATTTGCTACAAGTGTTGGTCAGTCCGTGACTACTCCACATCTATCACCCCGATGGAGGATCAAAGATATTTGACCTGAGAGACTGTCAGCCCTAGAGCCAAGGGGGCCAAGGGTGAGCTGAAGGTTGCAGGCCCATTGTTAGCAGGCACATGGGCTCCATGTGTCTGCTGTGCTCCACTCTGGCCAGGAGGCTCTGGGTGAGGCTTGGTCACATCTGTGCCGGTGGGTTGAACATTACCCCTGACTGCAACCGTGTGCCCAATCTTTGTGACCATGGCTTCTGCTCATGTTCCTCATTTGCTCTACAGTTTCCTGAGGGAGCTGGAGCTCTGCCCTGGACTGCAGCCTGCTTGGTCAGGCCCTGACAACCTGCCCACTACCATCTGCCAGCTAATGTCCCCTTTTAGCCTGAATGGGGGCACCCGTGGGATCAGGATGCTGCCACCTGCCCCTGGGCACAGCTGCCACCTAGCTGTTGCTGTGGGGCTTCCATTCGCTTGTCTGGACCAATCAGATCAGCAGTGCGGAAGCTACAGCATCATCTCCTCAGCAGGAACCCTACAGCAGGTGAGTCCCCTCACTCCAGCCACAGTCTTGACACTTCTGCTTTACTCTCCTCGGGAAAATTCTACCCCAGACTGCATAAGCTGCAGGTAATTTTCACCATCACTAGACAAATCAAGCACTATTTTTATTAACATGGAATCCCCTTAATTTATGTACAGGCGATAAAGATATGGTTCTAGGACCCGCGCACTGTGTAAAGGCATAGAAAATTTTTTTAAAAAAAAATATTTCAAAGCCAAGGATTCTATTTATTGTGGAATATGGTTGCATTTTATGCTGCTGGAAGGTTAGGCATCTAAGTGCCAACAAGCTAGAGACCTTGTGAGTGTTAGATCACAGCACACCACCCTGGTCACACTTCCCAAACTCATCCTTGCCCTCAGCTGCTGGGTCTGCCACTAAAATGATATGGGCAACCTTGGCACCATGGTTACTAACAATAGGACAGGAGACCCTCCAATATTTGCTGAATAAGTCAATGAATAGATGAATGAATCAGTTAAGTAAGCAATTTGTAAATCCTCTAAAGGAAATGCGTTCAGTGATTTAAAAAAAAAATCAGGAGTGGAAGATACAGAGTTGCTAAATGGATGAAGTACTTCAGTTTTACCAGATGAAAATGTTTTGGGGATTCACTGTTCACTGTTTGTTCAACAAGGTGAATATAGAGAATTCTACTAACCTGCATTTAGAAGTGGCTAAGTTCCACAAGAGCAGGGCTCTGTCTTGCTCACTGTTTTATCCCCTGGCACTAGGTTCTCAATTAGTATGTGTTGAATGAGTGAATTCTGTTCTAATTTGTAATCTCATGGCTTTATCTATTATATGTAAGTTGCTTAATATATTTGACTGCTCCTATTTTGAGATATTATAAATCATATTGCAGAGAAACATTTTGGTTTCTGGAGGTTTAAAAAAATTTTTTGTGTGTGGCACTGGGGATTAAATTAAGAAACACTGAGCTACATCTCCAGTCATTTTTTAAAATTGGGATACAGGCATGTACCACAATGTCTGGTACATATGTTCTGTTAAACATTTTTCAATTATTTCTTCTGAGTTATATTAGTGTAGCAGTTCCTTTGGCAGCTCCCTTTCCTCTTTTCCCTCTTCCCACAGTTTGGATCACAGACAGACTTAATGTTACAGCACACTGCTTTTCTTACTCTGAAGGCATAGAAGCAAAGTCTAAACTCGGTGCTGGCAGGTTCCTAGCCTACTTTTCCACTGTGACTTCCCATCAGTGCTCAGAAATACACTTCCTACTTTAAGAAGGTTGTTTCTCCTATCACTTTCTCTAACTACATGTCAGTGGATGTCATTTCAAAGAACACATCCTATTCTTCATCTGCCTAAATGTCACCCATCTTCCCAGGCCCCTCCGCTACCTCCCAACTCCATCCTGGCTTCCTTGAATCCAATCTGCAAGGCCTTCCTTTCTACTCTGGATTTTCCTGGCAGTCCATGTACCTGTCACCCTAGGTGGCCTCGGACCACCTTCTAATGCTGGCCATGGTTTGGGTCACAATCTCATGACCTACAACTTCCTGGAGCAAAAAACCTTAAATAATAAATTTATAAAAATTTTTCAAAGTTCTATGTAGTCCTAGCCTCAAAATAGTAAATATTTTGATTTAATTGCTTTGCCAATTTTTATGAAAAACCACATAGTTTTTCTGAGAGGTGAAAGAGCATATTCACGATAAAATACTGACCTCTTCCCCAAGAATGTACATTGTTTGTACATCACCTACACATTATCCTCCCATAAATAATTTAAATTCTTTTTTATTAATTTTATCAGTACATTTTAGTATAATGGCATTCATCATTGGGAATTGGCACCTTTACATAATCTCCCTTGGTTCTTATTTTTCCCCCTTCCCCTGCCCTCCCTTCAACCCCTCCATCCCTCCCTATTTACAAAGACTTTGTTTCCATTTTTTCATTTTCTCA